TCGAAGCATTTTGAATCAGAACAAGAAAGCAAACTTTGTCCATAGCAGGAATCACTACAAAATGAGGAGGTAAAATTATTTACTAACCTTATTTAGTGACTTATTCAAATGACTTACATAAATTTATATATAAATGATTTCAATGACTTATATAAAAACTAACCTTATTTAACGACTCAAGTGATTTTGCAAGAAAAGAGTTGCCGTCGAAAGTCTTCTCAGGTGCAAAATCCTCTTCTGCATTTAGAGCCGAGTAAGCGCAAACGGCATTAAAGAGTATTATTATGGCTAGTATAATTAGGTGGTACTTGGACACATTCAGGAGTATGGAACTGTACTTTCTGAAGATCCATTTAGGCCTAAAATTCGTAGAGAAATATGTTACATTTGCCGACAAGATCGATATATAAATAATTTGGTGCAAGAATGAATATGAAGACAAACACATGGAATCCTTCGTAGTTATTTATCGGAACCTTTCCGGGGCAGCACACAGCCATCTGGGGCAAAAAAACAAAGATTTCTAGCATCCAGCACCAAGCAAATGCAACAGCCGCACATAAGCAGAACATTGCAATATCGTGAGACGGCGACAGCGAATAACCAACCTGCAAATTTGGAATACTTTTTTCTCCCTGATTAGATCGCATAGTGTAAAACAGTGAAGACTATGCTGCAACGCACCAGGCTTGCCGGTGCGACCATGCTTTTTGCACTAAACCTGAAGCAACAAGACTATTAACAGCGTGAATAATGCAGAAGACGGCGTCAGCTAGAATGGTAGAATGGCATTATTGGGCCGCGTGAAACTTTAGCATGCGTGATTATCAATTTTGGATGAGGAGAAGTGAATAGTTTCGGCTGTTCATCGAAAATGCAAATTTGACAATGCACGAAGTGTCGGAAGAAAGGGATTACGAAACCTGCAAAATGCACTTTCGAGGTTGCGATAAAATTTTTATTTATCATGCCCGCATGTAGGTAATTTCCCTCCAAGCTGTGTTTAGATTACATGTAATACATAATACCCATACAAAGATTCAGCTTTCTGTCTTGTTTGGTTTCCGAAATTGCTTCCCACCAAAAAATTAGATATTTTTTCGGGAGTCCACACGTGAGATCTAGGCTCACACGAACAATGATTTTAGAACGGAAGGGTGAAACGTGATGTCGAAATACGCTCCCATCCCAGCTTCCCTTATCGTTGAGATGAATGTGGGTGGCAAAGTTCACTCGCTTCCGGGCTAATTCCTAGTAACATTTGGTTCTGCATTTGCATAATGTGCTTAAACGCATAAAAAGAGGCTTCCGCAGTAAAGGTTGGAAATAACATCTTGGTTAAAGCCATTTTGACTCGTGTTTGGGTATTTATGCAAATGCAAAAAAGCATATTGGCAGGAAGTTGTCTGTAAGTGTGTGTGTTCGTGTTGTTTGCATTTTTGTTATCTACTTTCAGTTCGGGCTAGAGAAGCTGAGACTTCAAGGGCATGTACCCACCTTGTTTGCGATCTTTCTGTTTTAGGAACGTCGCACACGAGGTGGGCACATGCTTTAGAAGTATCATTTACTTACGCCTGGACCTCACGTACAGACGCTTAAAAAAATATGTGTCAATTCTTTTGGCAAGAAAACGATTCGGGAACGAGATAAGGTTCTATGTTTCAAGAATGTTCTATTTCACAGGAATGTTCTATTTTCTTGTGCATAGGATTTTGCAATCATTGGCAACATGCTGCTAGAGTAATATGCCGGTTAGAGTGCCCTAATTCCAAGAGAACGTTTGCTGCCCATACAAAGGCACAGACGTGTAAAATGACCTTTGGTGCATGGCCATGTAGCGCGTTCGGACACGTCAGCGATGTACTTAACCAAAAAAGTTTTCGTCAATCAGTTAAGCTAGGGGACTGAAACTTTGAGAATATCCTATGTCAGTGTGTGACCTAATTATTTAAAATTCATCTATCTAGGTCTCGCGCTAGCGAAAAGCAAATATTTAGTTCAAGACGTTGTTGATGCCTTATTAACTAGTTAGTAACCAGATTGAGTAGGAAGCAGCATTTTAGCTAAGGATACTTACTATTCATGTGAGGCAACCAGACATAAGATAAGCTTCGGCCTAGAGAGAGCTCTATTTATAGACGTAACTTTTCAAATTGTAAAGCTGTAGTCTCAACTCTAGTACAGGCAAACTCTATATCATGCAAAAGCGTATGATTGCACTGGCAAGCCTAGTGCGTCGCTTGCTTTATGCTTAGCTACATGACAGACTATCAACTGCACCGCCTTTCACAATTATCTGTCTATAAGCTCAGTTAACTGGTTACTGAACTGCACACTGGACTTAGGCCAATTTGCGCATTTCAATGATTTAGTTTTCTTGTGACCAGTGCAAATTCCGCTGTATTAGCCACAAGTTCATTTAACCAAATCTGAAACGATCATGGATTTTGTGCGCTATTTGCCAAGAAATCATCTAAGCTGCTTTAAATGTCAGCAACATATCATTGTAGCAAGTGTTTTTATGCACATATGTATAAATATAGCTGTCCGTAAGTTCAGTCAACTGACTCTTAAATCAAATATGCTTGCACCGTAATCAACACTGGTAACCTACAAGTGGTGCAGCTATCAGACCAGAAGAATCTGGTGTGGTTACATAGATATCTATGATCATAACAAGGTTTTGCATGAAGTCTGAACAGCTCTATTTTTATTAACAGTGCTAAATAAAGCTCCGCTAGTACGCTGTCGGAAATAATATGCATCGGCTGCGTTGAGCTAACCATTCTTATTCAATGTAACACAGAAATCTGTGAAATGCAGCTCACAATACGCATGAAAGATGGCACCTGTTTGTTGCGCGTCAGTACTTATGCAAAAAGCAAAATAAGCATACCAGAAAAGCAGCTACGTTTGTGATGGACGAAAGCGTAATGGAAGGACCGACTTCCAGGTATATATTACAGAATCGAGAAGAAGCAACTGCTTGTGAATAGAACCAACTGTGCATCAAAAGAAAAGCGTCATCAACTCCAATACCAAGCACCAAAAAAGGAGTGATCATCCTGAATAAGAAAACATTGCCCAGAAAAAATTCTTTTGCAATTTCATGAAAGAGAATTGTGGGGTTTGTTAAAGTGCGTCGTTCGCTAGCGGGAAAAATGTGAAGTGTCCTTACACAATCTTGACGCCTTAGCAGCGTTAGAATTCAGTGTTCATGAATTTCCCGCCAATTACCTTTTTTATTAAAATCGCACGGGCGACTGGTGTCGCGGTTTTGGAGGTTAGTATTGTCATTATGAAAGAATACACATGTCGAAGCTAGCGACATTGTCCCTCTCCAAACAACGAGCTACATGTCTCTAGTCAGTGCACACTGCTT